TGTGATAGATAGTATAGTAAATAAAGCAAGTATTTAATCTTCGGGTTTATTGTGACAAAAAAGGTTTCTTGGATTTCAAGGTAATTAAACAGATTTTTGCAACTGACCACTGAAATAGTTTCTCTCTCTTAACACAACATTTAAAAGAACCTCATCAAAAAATACACAAGGGGACAGATTAACCTAAACAAGCATAGAAATAAATTTAGTAATCAAAAATGGAAGTCTCTACCGCTAATAGCAGATTTGTTATGTAACAAAAAGCAAATTAAGTACAGGCTCAGATGAACACAATTCTAGTAAAGTCCAGGAGATATAGGCAAGTGAAGGATTTAATATTCCTTAATCTTCTCACGTGGTATGATTAGTCACCCACCTGTAAACTCTGGAAGATGACTGTTATAACAACAGAAACAATATAAATTTACCAGGTATGCCACTATACAGTTATGCTTCTAAACAAAATACTGTATTTCCCCACTTCCTCTTGCAAATATGATTTAGTAGTGTGTGATTTGTGACACAACAGAATAATATTCTTTGTTGCAACTCGTTCCTCTTAGCGACACTCTCTGCCAAAAAGGCTTAAATGTCAGTAATCAGCTAAGCATAGACGAAAATATAAGGCCATATTTAGGTTGCGAAACTTTCACAAAAGAAGTTAAGCAATACCAGTTTGGTAAACAGGGAACCGGTGTTGCAGCAGTTGGTGAGAAGGGCCCGGGAAAGTGCTGAGCGGTGAGCTGCCGAGGTCAGGCACTGGGAAAGGCAGCTGGGGAATGGAGGCTGCCTCGGTGCCGACCCAGCACCTGTAAAAGTCTGTTTAGAGTTGATCCCCATCCAAATCAACAAATAAAAATGGTGTGTCATTGTCATGTAAATAGATGCTTCCCATTCTCAAGAGCTGTGTGCAGGATGCAGTTGTTTAATTTAAATTTAAACCTGTTGTTTAATTTTAAAAAAGAAACTACCTGCATTTATATGTGAATCTGCTACCTGACAAATAGGATTACCTTGCTTAAAATACACCTACACTCCTTGTGGCTGGGGTGAGTGCCTTCAAAATTCTCTGATGAATTTCATGTGGGATAGAATGTAGGTTTGCTAAGGGCTGTAGAGAGGAGAGTTAAATGCCAAGATTTTTCTAAAACCTTTCTTTTAATTTTAGGCTATTAACACTAGTATCCCTATACGTCACATCATACTTCAAGTTAGGACCTGAGTTCACACACATGTCTACATGTACTTGACTTTCACTCTGCATGGAGTTCATATTTAGAAATATAAAAATAATAGTATAATAGCACAAAATAGAAATAATCTCTGGGAAACAGTGCAAGAAGAAAAACCTGTAGTCTTTTACAGCCTCAGTGCATGCCCAAACATACCACTCTCTGCAGTTTTGACTGAGTAAATATATTCTCCCAAGCTGCTCCAGGTAACCCCATTGTCTCTGTCACTCTGTCAAGAGATCACTCTTAGAATCGTACCCATGTCACCTGTCAAAGGGCAAGCTACATTTATGGATAGCTTTAAAATTTGAGATAGAATTATAGAATCATCACAGAATGGTTTGGATTGGAAGGGACCTTAAAGACCATCTAGTTCCACCCCCCCCGCCATGGGCAGGGACACCTTCCACTAGACCAGGTTGCTCAAAGCCCCGTCCAACCTGGCCTTGAACACTGCCAGGGAGGGGGGGCAGCCAGAGCCTCTCTGGGCAGCCTGTGCCAGAGTCTCACCACCCTCACAGGAAAGAACTTCTATCTAGTCTAAATCTACCCTCCTTCAGTTTAAAACCAGGACCCCTTGTCCTATCACTACACTCCCTGATAGAGTCCCTCCCCACCTTTCCTGTAGGTCCCTTTAAGTACTGAAAGGTACTAAGGTCTCCCTGGATCCTTCTCTTCTCCAGGCTGAAAAACCCCAACTCTCTCAGCCTGTCCTCATGAGGGAGGTGCTCCAGCCCCCTGATCATCTTCACGGCCCTCCTCTGAACTAACTCAAGCAGGTCTATGTCCTTCTTATAATGGGGACCCCAGAGCTGGACACAGCACTCCAGGTGAGGTCTCACAAGAGTGGAGCAGAGGTGGAGAATTGCCTTCCTAGCCCTGCTGGCCACACTTCTCTTGATGCAGTCCAGGATACGGTTGGTTTTCTGGGCTGTGAGTGCACATTGCTGGCTCATAGTTAGTTTTACATACACCAGTACCCCCGAGTCCTTCTCTGCAGGGCTGCTCTCAATCCACAGAGAGCTGCAAGATACCATGAATAATAGCATACATAAGGCTTAGGTACCAAGGAGCAGTAACAGCCTGAGTAGGGTGACTGGGTAACCACAGCCTCTGCAACTGGGGGGCAGCTTCTGAAGAAGGTCAGAAATGGCACTGGCAGCACCTGAGCTGCAGCCTAGAACGCAGACTGCACTGCCTCTCTGGGCTACTAACAGCCTTTTTCTTTAAGAGTAGATGGGATAGCAGTGAATAAGACTAGGTCATGATTTCCCTTCAAAGCTAATTACTGGAGAAGACTCCTAAAGATAAGAGCAAGCTGAATCCAGAAGTAAATCTGATCTTCTCCCCAAAGATTAAGTTAATGTCTTTTCTTTCCTTGAACTGGCACACATCTCATAATGTGCTTAGACTCCAGGACTGGAAAACCAAGTAGCCACGTGCTGAATAAGTATCCACCCAGCAGTCCAGGACAAAGAAAGGACATTCCTCTCCAGGGGAAAGGCGCACCATGTTCCCAGTTCTCCACACAAAACAAGGAATCAGTAGTTTAGAAGGGAAAACTCATCATTTACAAAATACAAAAGGGATAGAGAAGTCAATGAAATATAGCACCAGACTCAATGAGCCTTTGGACTCGAGAAGTTTCACCAGAAACAGCTCAGAAAAAGAAGTTTTATACAATTGTAATTTTTAAACTCTCCCTTGTATCTCGGGTTTACAAAAATAGGAGGTTTGTATATCATAAAACGTTTACACTTTCTTCTTCTCAATAAGAACTACACAATTTAAATCAAACAGCCAGGTCATTTGAAACATACCACAGTATTTTTGTTTTAACCCTTTTCAAGAAACTGCAGTAAATCTGAAAGTGTGAAGATGTGTAAATGGTATAAAATAATGTGAAATGACACAGTGTTTTCTTTATTTCACCTGTATTTAGAGAGCACCCAGCTTCAGAACACAAAAGCAGCTTCTGCAGACAACCCCACTGCTGCCAGACCTTGTGTGCTCTAGTTGTTAGACTACAACAAAGCAAATCAATCTTTGGCTAGCAAGTTGGTCAGCAGTTTGAAGACAGTATGCAGAAACGCGTGCAAGAGCAAAACTGTCTCAGCAGCCCGTTACAACGCTAAAATACGGAGCCCAAGTACCTGCTGAAGGACCAGGGATGATGGAAGCTCCGGAGCAGCTCCACAGACAAGCAGGGCACACAGCTCCGGAACACCAGCCCTTCCACATCGGAGACTTCTCTTCACTCATACTGGACCTGTCACATTAAGCAGCTACTGAAAGCATGTAGTAACAGCAAGAATGTGTTTTTCTTTCCTCTCCTCCATGTTTAATTCTCCCCCACCTCTGCACCCACCAAAAATGATTCTAAACAAATAGAATTACTGCCCCTAGTCCTTCATTAAAGAAATCACTTCAGTGAACACTGAGTTTCACTGTTTTTCATATGCAGGTGTCTGTAAGAGTATATTAGGAAAAAAAAATTGTATTACCAAGCAAATATATAAACTTTCAACAGAGAGCTGTAGTCAAAGCATTGCTGCCAAAATGCCTGAAAGAACTTTGGTAGTCTCTTCTGAAGAAACTGAAAAATGGAAAGCAATAGCATAAACTAATGGGGAAAAAAAAATCTGATTTCCAGTTGTAATCGTCTCAGGTATAGCAAATAAATATTATTTATGCCTATGATTTTAAGTATCCTCACTGAATTTTATTTAATGGCAGATTAAAAAAAAAAATCCAGTTATTCTAAGTATTACACAATACTGGCAATGGCACATAGAGAACCAATGTGATCCCGTTATCAGCTGCAGCTGTTCAGTTACTCAAAAACCTCCCCCACCAAACCTGTAGATTTTAAGACATGGCAGAAAGGTAGGTATATTTGATTTTGAGTAACTGAGCTTAAAGCAAATCTTATTAGATGAAAATCCTGGAGAAAAAAAAATTTTAAAAAACCCCAAACAAAACAGAATAAAATCCAAAATGATCAGTCTGAACTGAAAAACTGTCTCAGGTTTTTCACACAAAATCGCTTTTTTCCATGATTACACAGCCTTTTATATGAGCACAACTCAACCTAGGATAGTTAAGTTGTACTGTCACATAAACTAATTTGCCAGAGCAAATGCCAGCAGTCATGATATAAAATCCTTCTTAACTCTAATTTGATGGAAGTGAACTCAATGGAAGATAAAAATGCAGCATCTCCAAACAGATGAGGAAGCTCTTCATTGGGATATACTGCAGTGGCCTACCACTGCCTGCCCCAGCGCTGAACAAGCTAACAAGATATATTTTTCCTATTATCTTCAAAAACACAATATATATATTTATTTAAAATAACATTAAATCCAGCCCTTTTCGAAGGCTAAAAAACCCCCTTGCTTTTAACTTGCAAGTTCAGTGGCTTATGCCATACTGGCAACTTTTAACATGCCAGAAGAGGTGAAGTTCACCCTCGGTTAGAATCTACACAGGATCCTCTGCATGGGGATGGAGATGGCATTGCCCATCTCCTGCAGTGGCAGTCTGCTACACTTCCTCATGTCTGAAACTTCCAAGTTTGTGCTGTTCACAACCCCGTTTTCCACAAATCTCAACTGGTTAGCTGCCTTCTTCCTTTTCTTCCAAGAGGAAAGCAGCACATTAGGTCTCTGGGCCTAAAAAGATACCTTTTAAGACTCCAGCGCTGTGTTTTGAGACATATGGATTTGAGAAGACACAGAAAAACACGTAATCAAACACATTCTTTATTAATGATTTCAGAAGTCATCTTCCGAGTCACAATCCTCATTGTTTTGCAGTGGCCGTTTAATACCAATTATTAAATCTATGGAGAGAAGCTCTGTAACACAATGGAGGACTGAAATGACTAACTGATACTTGCAATACACCGATTCCAAACCTCTCTCGTTCACAGGAAGTGGCTGATTTCTTCTGAGCGCATTTATGGCTTTGAGATAGAATTTGGTAAAGCTGCCTTGTTCTGTTGTCCTGTACAAGGACTTGGGAATACTTAACAAAGCATCAGCAACTACATGAGCTACGACAGTTACCTCTGACTGCTGCAACTGTTTTGCATAGTAATGAATATAATAATGTAACAGGATTTCAAAGTAACCTCCTACAGGCAAAACTGATCCTGCTTCTATAAGACATCTGGAGTAATTCTGTGCAATACTTACACAACTCTCTTCATGTTTAAATGGAACTACATTGCAACTTGTTTTCTCTAGATCTTTGCCAACACCTAGGCATTGACACACAATGCCTGTATCAGCATTACGTGTTGCTAATGCAGCAGTGCTGCAGTTCTGATTGTCCACAAATGAATCGCTTTCATAGTTCTCACGCACATCACCCAGATGCTTGCATTTTGCATGCAGTTTCTGTATATCTACTGAAGAACCATCTCTATCAGTGGCAACACTGAATTCTTCGATGTGTGAGATGACATTTGAAGGTTTTTGCAAGTCTGTTTGCACATGCGCTGGATTTTCACTTCCCTGCAAATCAAGGTCTATAAGTTGTGTCTCTGTTTTTTCCCTAAGTACTTTCATTTGACGTTCAGGAATCTGATTGCTGTTACAAGAAGCATTTTCTGTTATGAGTTGCTTCTGAGTAGCTGAAGAAAGCCAACAGCAAATACTGGAGGCTTCATCATCTGCTTTGCATTCCTCCCTCTGATCAACTGTTTTAAATAGCTGCTGCAGCATCGTAAATGCCCCTTGTAAAGCAGCAGCATGCTGCTCATTAACACTCTCCACCGGCCCACAAAGAATTAGGCAATGGGGCTGAAAGGCGCACACGCTGGTGAAGCCAATGTGAACGCACCTCCTTGAGCCGAGCAGCAAGGGCTGGCAAAATGTTGCCACCGCACTTTCAGCGATTTCTCTCTGTGTGTTATCACCAAAAGGTTCATAAGGCGAGACTCCTGTGATTTCACAGATAAGGGCCATTTCTTCCGACGATAAGCACTCTACCACAGACACGCCGTATAATTTTGCATAGTAGATAACAACTTCCTCCTGCTTCACGCTCGACAGCAATAGCTTAATGTCGTTGCTCTGAAAGTGTTTCATTAGGGTTTCTACCCTCCGTGCGATCCAGCGCTGGGAGGCCTGATACCGGCCCTCGGAGTCGACAAGGAACTCGACGCCGGGGGCCGAGAGGGCGGGCCGGAGGGGCTCGGTGACAAGCACGGCCCGCAGGTCCCCGCCCGCCGGGCAATAGGCCGCGAAGTCCCTGCGGAGGACAATCCCAGGCAGGACCCTGGAGCTCGCCACGGGCAGGCCGGCTACGGCGGCGTGCAGCTCCGCGAAGCGGCGGCCGAGGAGGCGCAGCAAGGACGGGCGGGGGGCGGCGTC